ACCTTATTTATATTCACTAGTTATGGCAACATTGTTCTCCTTGCTCCTTTACTTCTTTGGTCATGGTATCTTTAGCTCTTTGTGCGTACGGCAGACAGTTGGCTTAAAGCCTTTGTCTACTAAATCCAGTGCCTGCACTTTCTTAGGGACAGTTTCTGTTCATTTCCTTTTTTTCCTGTGAATGGGCCACCTTTCTTGTTTCTTTGCACATCTTGTAATTTTCTGTTGAGCACTGGCATTTTGAATATTCTAATACAGTCATCTTGGAATCTGATTCTTCCTCAGGATTTGTTGTGGATTGCTGGTGGGATAGCTTTTCTAAGCCATTTTTGAAACAGTGGACTCTGTCTTGTATGGTCTCTGAAGTCAGTTCATTTGGCTTGTGGTCAGCTAGTGATTTGATAAGTTGCCTTTTTTCTTTATTCAAGGACTGGTGAGGGCATTTGGCAGCTAACTAGGTCGGTCCTTCAAACCCGCCAGCTGCTCTGCAGGAAGAAGACAAGGCAGTCTGCTTCTGTAAAGATTTACAGCCTTGGAAACCCTGTGGGGATGGCTGTAGTCAGAGTCTACTCAGTGGCAGTGGGTTTCTTTATTCAGGATTCAGTTGGTTGCTGTAAACCTTTGACTGTTTTCCAGAGTTCTTACAAAGTTTATTCTGACCATTTTTGCTGGTTTTTCCTCATTTCTTTGTCAGAAGGGGTCATCAGAGCTCTGTTCCACCATTTTCATGGATGTCACCATTTTATGCTCCTTCCTTTATGTAAGACAATTTTGCAAATTAGGAGTTGACACTATTATTTTCAGCACTTGAAAGATGTCCCATTGTCCTTTTTTCCTCCATTTTTATCTTGTATTGTTCATGATGAGACGTCTGCTATAATTATGATCTTTGTTCTTCAGTAGAATAATAGGTCTTTTTCTGCTGACATCAGGATTTTCTCTGTATCTTCAGATTCAGCAGTTGAAATATGACGTGTCGGGTTGGTTTTTGTTTTTAAACTTGATGGGGTTCTCCAAACTTCTTGAATCCATGATGTGATACTTTTCATTACTTTTTAAATATTCTCAGCCATTATTATTTCAAATATTTCTTCTGCTCCATCTTTTTCTTCCTCTGGGATTCTAATGATCTGTTTAGGTTACTCTGTGCTGCTCTAACAAAATGCAGGAAAATAATTTTTTTAAAAAAAGAAAGAAAATGCTGGAAAAATAACAGGATAGGCAGATGTGTGAGGACAAAGTTTATTTGTGGTTGCCAGGGGCTGTGGGAAGGAGCCATGGGACTTCCTGCTTCAGGAGCTGTGAGTTGCTGGGTGGGGGATGAAAACTTTCAGAAATGGATAGTGGTGGTCATTAAACATCGTGGTGAATGTAACTCATGTCACTGAATTGTACATTTAAAATGGCTAAATTTTCGTGACATGTATTTGACCACAATAAAATATTCAACAGAAAAATTAAATAGAAAAAAAACAAAATAGCTCTGCCACTTTCTACAACAGTCTACCCGAATTTCTTACCTCAGTTTCCTCACCTGTAAAATGGGAATGAAAGAAGACTGTGGTGAGAATTCAACGTTTGTACAGTGCTCAGCCCATGGAAGCGGCAGTCACAAAGTCCAACACCATATTGCATGGGGCAGATCTGCCGCAAGAGATCTCTCTAAAGTCTTAAAAAGCAGAAATGTTACTTTGATGACTAAGGTGCACGGACCCAAGCCATTGTCTTTCCAGTTGCCTCGTATGCATGCGAAGCTGGAGAAGGTGTAAGACCAACGATGAGCTGAGGCGTTTGAACTGTGATGTTGATGAGGCATACCGAGTATACCACAGATTGAACTGTGATGTTGACGAGGCATACCAAGAATACCACAGGTTGCCAGAGGGAGCAGATGTGTTTCCTCAGAAACCAGGAAGGCGAGACGGCATCTCGCTGACTTTGGACATGTTATCAGGACAGATCCACCCCTGGAGAAGAACGTCGTGCTCTGTAAAGCGAGGGTCAGTGAAAGGAGAGCCTCACTGCGACGGACTGACGCGGAGGACACAGCCGTGGGCTCCTGTCCAGCAATGGCTGTGAGGATGGCGCCAGACGGGCCACGTGTCATTCTGTCAAACGTGAGGTTGCTGTTGGAACCAGCGCCACGGCATCTAAAAGCAGAGGTCTCAGTGCTGTGCTGCCCTGTTTTTCTCTAAAGTGGTTTCTGTATTGTTACAGATTGAATTATGTCCCCTAAAATCTGTGTTCTAAACCCTACCCTCTCTTACTGTGGCTGTAATCCTGTGTGGGGATGGGTAGTCTTGGTCATGAGGCACCATTAGCGTAGGGTGTGTTGTGAGTCAACAAGCAAGCAGAGATGGGGGAAGGTAGGTGCCATGCCACATGGAGATCACCAAGGAGCAGAAGCTCAGAAGAGCCGGGGACCTTCCTGCAGAGCCGACAGAGGGAGAAAGCCCTCCCTAGAGCCAGCGACCTAAATTCAGAGCCCGTGACCTAAATTCAGAGCCCTCGCCGTCTCCGTCCCCAGCAGAAGTAGAGTCCTGTGTCCTGTGTAGCTCACTGCCCTTTGTCTTTACTGCGGACTTCATGGAGCCCCAGGGTAGCCTCGACTGGTGATTCCTGGACACTGGGTACCTCAGAGGAAGGAGGTCTGGCTTACTGCTCCATCAGAAGGTCCACCTGCCTTGTGTGGCTTCTGCCTTTGAAGGTCATGGTTTTGGTTTGAGGGGTTCTGACGCTATCTTTGGCCCTGACCTTTGTGAGACGGATGGAACGCACCACAGCCCAGTGCACAGGTACTTCACCTGCACATCCTCTCAGGGCTCTTGGGGTAGCTTCCAGAGCCCATTCTCAGACCCTTTGAGCCCAAAGTTAAGAAGTTTCTTACCTATCATCATAAAACCTGTGTCCTTTTAGGAAATAAACTGAAGTTTGGTTAAACAGAATTCCTTATATCTGAGAGTTCATTTTCCAACTGGAGTTTGAAATCGTTGCATCAATTTTTTTTTCTCCATTTGTTGTTAAGAATATACACAACAAACATTGCATCAATTTTGAATAAACTGTTGGATCAGGTTTAAAGAACACACCTCCTTACTTGTTAACCAGAATTACATATGGTTTGTTTTCCAGGAGATTGGATACACTCATATGAAAATTGCAGAAGGTGTGAACTCCCTCTTGCAGATGGCGGGGCTCCTGGCCCGGCTGTGTCAGAAGACGATAGCCCCAGTGGCCAGTTAGAGCCGAGACCGCCCTGCCTGGGCCACGTGAGTGCTCCTTCCTGAGTGACGGGACCCAGGGCCTTCAGACTTGGACACGGTGCTTCAGGCCGGCGCTGGAGCACACCTCCTGTAAACTACCGTTGCTTCCAGCACATCTCGCGTCTCCCCTTGGCTCCCCGAGGGTCCGCATTCAGCCGCACACTTGCAGGTGTGTGACAGGGCAGACAGGCCTCAGAGAGACTCGGGGCCGGCATGGGCTGTGTATGTGCTGGCTTTGTGTAATAAAACGAACGATTTGCACCTCGCTTGCCCTGCTTCCCAGCTTTACTTCAGGGCGAGGACAAGGCCTGTGGAGAAGAGTCTGTGAGTGGGTGTGGCCTCCCTTCATGTCATTAAGATAACTCAGGGTCCCTAGGAGGACTGCGTCCTGTCTCTGCGTGCCCCCAGCTTGACAAGTAGAAATGGTGATTCAGATAAAAGACTGGACAAGCTACTCTCAGTTCTGGAAATCTGAAGGGACCAGTCCCTGTGGGGAGGCCAGGGTTGGGTGGATTTTGCTGACTATTAGTTGGAAAGGAGATCTGGTAGCACAGTGCCTAAGGCATCTGACTGCTAACCAAAAGGTTGGTAGTTCAAACCCACCAGCCACTCCACGGAAACAAGACTGGGCAATCTACCGTAAAGATTCACCACCTCAGAAACCCAATGGGCGTCTTTATGAGTCACAATCAACTCGATGCAGTGAGTTTGCTTTTTGGTTTATTAGACTTGGAAGATGAGCCCTTCCAAAGCGTTTGTAGTGTGTCACTGACTGGAGTGATGTGATGTGTCACTCAGGACAACTGCAGCCACGTCACTCTCCCTGGTAGCAGTGTGGACAAATTGCTCTAGGATCCCCCGCTGAATTCTGTTACTAATCTGTAGACTTGGTTTTCTTGGATCGGTTCTATTTTTTTTTAATTATGAAACGTTTCAGGTGTATACAGAAGTCATTAGCTGTTGTCCAGTTGGCACTGACGTGTGGTGGGCCCACACACAGTGGACAGAAACGCCGCCCACTCCTGCACTGCCCCATGATTGGCTGTGCTTAGACTGTGATCCACAAGGAGCTTCACTGGCTGAGTTTTGGGAGTTGATCACCAGGCCCGTCTGCCTAGTCCCTCTCAGTCTGGAAGCTCCAGTGAAACCTGCTGAGCATCACAGCATCACGCCAGCCTCCATGACAGAAGGGTGGCGGCTGCATGTGAGACGCCAGCCCAGACCCCGCGTCTCCTGTGTGGGAGGTGAAGAGTCTACCTCTGAACCACAGTACCCTCTATTCCAAAGCAGATCGAACGATACAGTGAACCCGTGAACAGTCATCACTCACCTTCAGCAGTTTTACCGACATGTAGCCCATCTTGCTTCCTCTGTATTCCCACTCGGCAGCCAGCCCAACTCCTGGGTTACTGTTCTCGTTCCCTCGTGCCGCTCTGACAAGAATATACCACAGATGGGATGCTTGAACAACAGGAGTTGATTCTCTCACAGTTTGGAGGCTTTAAGTCCAAGTTCAAAGTGCCAGGCTCTAGGTGCTGGGTGAAAGCCCCTCAGCCTTGGGCTTCAGCTCTGCCTCCTGCTCCCGGCCCACTGGAGCTAGAGGCATTTCTTCACTCAGGCAGCTGCTGGCTGCTGAGGCTGAGAAGCCCGAGGTTGACAAATAAAATGGCACAGTCCCACTGTTAACCAGACCACACAGCAGGCCATTAATTTAAGTCCATTGTAAGTCCCAAGGTCAGCAGAGCATGGCAGGCTGCTGAACAACAACACGGCTACATGCAGGGTCCAAGTGCCATAAGCCGGAGACCATTCCCAGAGCTTCTCCTTATATACAGGAAGCAGACCACATACCCAAAGGCAGCTACTCAGCTGCTTGTGATAGATCCACCATGGAGTTGATTGCCAGTCTCATCATGGGAAATAACTACCACCAGCTGTCCAGCCACTCAGCCAGGCCCAGCCAAGTTGACACAAAAACATAACCACCATAGTTACTTTGAAGCAAATGCTAGATTTTAAAATGATGTTATTAAGGGGAGGGAAGTGACAAACCGTCCATGTTTCCATGTTTGGTTGTTATGTGCTGTTGAGTAGGACCTGGCTGATAGTGACCCCTCCTTGGGTTTCTGAGGCGGTATCACTATGGAAGTAGGTTGCGCAACCTTCCTTTCAAGGAGTGGCTGGTGGGTTTGAACCGCCAGCCTTCTGGTTAGCAGTTAGGTGCCTTAGGCACTACACTACCAGAGCTCCTCCATGTTTGGTGGCCTCGTGCAAAGCTCTGATTGAAAACAGCCTGTGTGTCACGCTGGCTTCCCCGCTCCTGTGGGCTTCCAGGGGTGGTGCTGGGGACAACCGGGCAGGACCACGTGGTTTTCCCTTGTCCCTTTAACTCCCAGCGCAGCTTGGTTTGGAGCGGGAGGCAGTGGGGAGGGGAGCGACCTGCCAGCATTCCTCAGTGCCACCCCTCCTGGGCAGGCTCAGCCACCCCCAGACTACACCGTCGAATAGGGGCACAGAATGGACCCAGGAAAGGCTCTGAGTTAGGGTCTTAATTAAGATGGGGAAAAAAAAAAAAGCACCTTACTTCTCTCAGAAACTACCAGGTAGTGATTCTCTCTCGTTCCCCTTGTGAAGTTAAGAGGTCAGATGCCCCTGCCTGCCATTTCTTATGGGCCTCTGGAGGCCGCTCAGCCTGAAAGCAGACACAGGAGGACTGCCCTTAAAGTGAAGTGGTTTATTGACAGGTTTAGACTGAACACTTGTTCCCTGACCCAGTGGTCCCTGTGGCTTGTCTGCCCTTCCCACGGGACAGTCCCATTGCTGCCCAGCCAGCCAGCCTGGAGCAGGGGTGTCCCCGCCTGGTCCAGGGGCCTTGGCCACTTTCTGACTGTTGCCTCCCCGGACTGTGATGTACAGAAACCTTTCCATGGAAGGGTCACAAAGACATCGTGTTTCCTGAGTGATCTAAGGCCCCAAGATGTGCGAGGCCCCACTGAGGGGCAAAGGAGAGACAGGACTCCCCCACATTAGTATGCTGAAAATTAAGTCCACGTAATGCTTTGTAAGAGAGAAAACATAAGAATCTCTAACCTGGAGTGCAGAATCTTAAATACGGCTCCACTATATAAATTAACTGTACAAGCTTATTATTGGTCATTACGAAATGCCACAGCCAACATTAGTAAGCAATTTAGTATCCAATGCAAAAGAGGACATGAAGACCGGTGTGGTGGGAAGCTTTAGATAAGGGGGGTGGTGACGCCACCAGCCCTCACTTTGGGATCAGGTCCCATGGGAACTGTGTTTCCTCTGCACCAGCCCTGCCCCGTGGAAGCCCTGGTTGGCGTTGCCCCATGTAACTGTCCATGGCCAAGCACTGCTGCCCGGGCCACACTGCGCATGGCCAGATGGTCCTAGGGGGTGTGTTGTGCCTTCCAGAACCACAGCCAAGCTGTCTGAAACCCGAGCAGCTCTGTCTTCACTCCTGTGACCTTTGAGAGGCAGAAAATAGTGTGAGCTCAGCGGTGTCCGTTGCTCCTTGCCATGGCTCCTTCAGGGAAAAGGAGAAGAGTTTGTTGAGACAGCTTGCCCTGGACTTTGTTCCCTCAGCTCCGGAGTGGCCGGCTGGGAGAGGGGAGCAGGTGCTACCCAGTGAAGCCCAGCCTTCAGCTGCCCCAACAGCGGCTGAGAAGGGAACCTGCCGTCAGGCAGCCTTGACCTGTGTCTTATCCCAGGCGCTTGTGCTTCTGATTTTAGTTTGAAGTCCTGGCTGCACCTCTTGATTCTGAGCAAGGCTTTAGGGGTTCTACACTCTCCCTAGTGCAGGAACTCTTGCAGCAGGAATGCTGACGGTCATCTCTGGAACGTGCCCTACGCTAGGGTGCCCCTCTCCAAGACCCATCCTTTCCCCTAACACACTGAAGTTTTCCCAAGTTCTGCTGCCTGCTTGACTTGACTCAGCTCACTTGTCTCCTGCCTTACTGGCAGCCCTTCAGATTAGAGCAGTGTTTGGGCCACTGCAGGGTCTTTGGGCCCGTGGGGGATGCTGAGACGCGGTGGCAGACCATTCTCCGGCTACATGGGATCCAGGAGGAAAATGGTGCCATCCTGCCACGGCCTAGGAGTCCCTGGGTGGCACAAACAGTTAAGCGCTCGATGGCTAACCAAATGGTTGGCGGTTTATGCCCATCCAGGGGTGCCTCAGAAGGCAGGCCTGGCTTCCAAAAACTCAGCCGTTGAGCCGTTCTAACTGCACACACAGAGTCACCATGGGACATGGAGTCACATACGATGTGCAGTCACATGGGACATGGAGTCACACGGGACATGGAGTCACATGGGACATGGGTCATCACAGGACATGGAGTCACCATGGGTTGGGCAACTGGGTTTTTCTCTTTTTTTTTTTTATCATCCTTGTTGTTGTTGTTGTTGCTGTGTGCCGTCGAATCGGACCCGACTCATAGCGACCCCTCCTTGGGTTTCCGAGGCGGTATCTACAGAAGTAGATTGCTCAACCTTCCTTCCGAGGAGTGGCTGGTGGGTTTGAACCGCCAGCCCTCTGGTTAGCAGTCAAGTGGCTTAGGCACTAAGCCACCAGAGCTCCCTACCTTTCCCTCTTATGTCATTTCTGCCAGCACACAGCCTGCCACAACTGATGTCCTCCCCAGAAGCTGCACGGTCCCTCTGCCTCGCTAAGTGAAGCTTTGGGAGTGGTCTCTGCCCCCAGCAGGCCCTCATTTCCGCCCGTGTCGGGCCTGTGGGAGCCTTGCTGGGTCTGCAATGGCCCCACGTGGGCCTGTGGGGGGCCTCGCACAGGTGTGCACGGTCGTCTTGCCTCCCAAGCAGTGGTCCTAGCCTGGCGTCTATGCCTTCTGGGTGCCTGTCCCCTCCTCCACTCAGCCTCTTGAGAGATGGTGTGTGAGCTGCTGAGAGCCACTTCAGCCCCGTCACTGGCACCAGCACCTCTCTGTCCCCACC